GCAGCCTGGGCTGCCAGAATCTGGAATGGTCTTCCAAGGGAGGTGGTGCTTTCCCTTACCTTGGGGGTCTTTAAGAAGAAGCTAAATATGCACCTGGCTGGGGTCATCTGACCCCAGCGCTCTTTCCTGCCCAGGCAGGGGGTCAGATTCGATGATCTGCTGAGGGCCCTTCTGACCCAAACATTAGGCCTGTGTGAGTCAGCAGTGATCTGATCCGGCTTCGGATCTGGCTTCAGATCCGGCTGCTTCGGATGGCCACGATCTGATCTGGAGCTCCGGTCTGGGTTTCTGCCTCAGAGATCCGGCCATAGGGTATAATGGGGAATCAATGAAACAGCTATATCTTTGTTGTTTTTTGTCCGATTTGGATGAAACTTGCAGGGATTGTAGCCTCTGCTGAGAGCATGAAACTTGCAAAGTTTCAAGAAGATCAGTGCAGGGGTTTGGAGGGAACTGTACCCCCAAATTCTTGAAAGCCAAACTCATGTCACGGCTGTGTGTTAGAACACAGGGGGATCAAACCTGCAGGGGTGGTAGCTCTTGCTGAGGCCACAAAGCCTGCCAAGTTTCAAGAAGATGAGTGCAGGAGTTTGGGGGGAACTGTACCTCAAGCTGCGGACAAGCAGAACTTGTGACATGGGTGACCCTGTGTGTGTTAAACCACAGTGGGGGGCAGGGATGAAGCCTGCCAGCTGTCGAGAAGATCGGTGCAGGGGGGTTCTGGAGCCCTGCACCCCTGGCTGCTGACGGACAAAACTTCTGCCATGGGTGCTTGTGGGCCTGACTGTGTCTGTCTTGGGGCGGTTGATTGTCTGTATTGATTCTTTCCTCTTGTTTTGTAGGTGCTAATTGATAGCAATTAACTGGCTACATTAGCTAGGTCCTGTGTATTGAGCTGGTCCCTGAGTGAATCATGATTTATTGATTGATTGATAACTGGTAACACAGTAGCTTAGCAGCCAGGCCTGCCCATGCCCCAAGACGGACACAGTCAGTCCCACAAGCACCCATGGCACAGGGTCTGACCACTGGGAATGCCTGTCACGCCCACCTGATAAGCCCTGCACAAGGAGAGCCGGGGGGGAGGATGGGGCAGCACAGCCACCTGTGCCCATGCCAGCTCACCCACCTGCCCATAGGTTTGTAACCCTGGAGTCAGGGACCCCACAAGGGAGGGGTTTGGGGGCCGTTCCCTCCCCTCCCTGCCCTGCCTGGCCAAGCTCCCCCCTATCCACTGGAATATGCCTCCACAACATGGAGGGAAGCAGGAGGCAATTTAGGACTTAACTGAGTGTCCCAGAGGCTCCCAACTAGGCAGCCAGGGGCCCGTCACATGTGGAGAAACTCGTCGATGGCAGCAATGAATGCCATGGCTGTGGGGGTCAGGCACTCCTAGCGTAGGCAGAGATACCTCTCCGGGTGGTGCACATTGCAAGGAGGTGTAAGTTTGCTTGGGGTGCCATTGAAGCTCAGGGCCCTGTGCCAGGTTCTCAGCTGTGCCTGGGGCACCATGTGATCAGCAGCAGCTGGGCGTAGTGGGTGGGACATCCCTCAGCGCACTCAAAGAATTTGTTGCAGTGTGCCTGGGTGACAGTTGGGGCATAAACCATGTGTGGCAGGGGCCCTGGCCCCATACACCTCTCCAGGGAGGGCCACTGTGGAGGGGAGAGCGGGGCATCACCAGCTCTGCATCCCAGCCAGGCGGGAGCCTCTCACCCTAGGACCCAGGTGCCATGGGCTTGGCAGCATAGGAGCAAACTGCCTGGCCTGTAGGGAGGAGAAAGGGAGAAGCTGGCCCTGGCCCAGCCTGAGTAGGGTATGGGGAAGGCAGGCTACCTGCAGCAAGTGGCAAGCAGCCTGGGAAGGGTCAGCTGGTGGCCACCTGTGGAAGAGCTCACCCAGCCAACTTACGGTCCCTTGGCACGTGTTTACGCACAGCCCCTGAACTGAGGGCTGGCAGCATACAGACCCTCGCATGTTATCTGCATGTTATCTCTGAAATATTGCAAACTCTCACAAAGAGCCTCTCTGGCCTTGCTCTGCAGGACCAGCAGCTGTACATAGGGGAAAACCACCAATAGCCAGTAGAGATGCTGCTGTAATGTTGCTGCCAACATCAGCTGGCACCCTCTGCACGTGCTGCCTCCACCAGCACTGGATCCAGGAACACACTGTGCTCCTGGAGTGACTGGTCACTGCAGTGGAGGAGTGCCTTGCGGACTCTTGGGTCTTGCACCATCAGGACCTGGAAAAGTATCGGGTGGACCACACCCTTGTGGAGTGGTACCTGACCTCCTTGAGAAGGGTGGTAGAGGCCCAGGAACAGTGGGGCACCATGGTGGCCCAGGCAATGGAGTTGATAGAGGAGAACGACTATGTCCTGAACACTGTCCTGGCCCTGGCAGTCACCTTCATATGATACGCCTGATATGCAGCTCTGGGTCCTGGCCCTGCCTGGCAGTGGCCCATGGCCCAGTGCCAAACTCCTGACCCTGGTCCACCAGTGGTCTGGTTTCTGACCTGGGCTGCTACCTGCTGCTTGTCTGGCTGTCATGTGGCCCCTGAGTGGGAGCTGGCCACAGGTTGGCCAGTTTTGCACATGGGCCCTGGTGGCCCTGGCCCCATAGAGGAGGAGGAGGGGGAGTGAGCTGAGTGGGTTGGACAGCTCCTTCCCTTGCCCCCAGGCCAGCCCCCACTCCCCCACCCCCCACTGGGCTTACCACAGCATCCACACCTGCAGTGATGTTGCCAGAGGCTGGGGTGCTTGCTGGGTGCCTCTCCCTTGGATCCACACTGTAGGTACCTTCACCCAACTGTTCCCCCTCATCAGTTCACAAAACAGACAGTGCACTTAGTTTCCTGGGAAGCAAGTGCTTTATTGGTGGTGCAGGTTGGAGTTAGGGAAGGATGTGTTGTTGGAAGGAAGGAAGGAAGGAGTCTATTGTTGGGGAGGATGGGAGGGAGTTTGTTGTGAGGGAGTGGGTTGTTGGTTGTTGTGTAGTGGAGGGAAATAAAGTTTGATATTTTTTGTAAAGTGTCTGTAGAGTGCGTATTCTTGGGGTAGCACTGTAGGCCTGGCATCCATGGGCAGTTGCTTAGGCACACTATGATGGGGGCTGGAGGAGGAGGTAATCAGCAAGTGCGTTGTGGACACAGTGCCCTGGCTGCTGCTATTGGGGGTTGGGTGAGAAGTCTCCCTGGTGCACTACTCAGTGGCTGCCAGAAGAACACCCCCTGCCAGCCTGGGGCTGGCACCAGCGCTGCTGCAGCCAGAGCCTGGAGCTCTACAGGGCTGCTGCAGAGAGGCAGGGCAGAAGCATTCCTGGACTTGACTGCTCCTGTTGGGTGCAAATCTGCACCCAACACAGATGAATGTATAGATGTGTTTCCATCCAAAGTCTGGCTGGGAATTTGTGCCTGAATTTACTGCGCATCAACAGATGATTGTCTCATGCTCACATCAGATAATTTAATTGGCCATATCATAAACTTAGCTTATAGTGCTACATGGTTTGTTAGTGGTTATGAAAAGATCTGGACACTTTAAGATCCAGCCAGAATATCTAACTTGATGATCTCTTGTGGCATTTAATTCTACCAAATTAAGACCCATATGTGGCTGCGAATTACATTTGTATGTTCTTCAGTGTGGTCACACCTCACATTGACTGCTTTATGGTATTGTGTGACCCAGCACAGATGCTGTTCTTGTAAACACAAAGCTGGTATAATTCTAAAGGAATTCATGGGTTAGGAAGAGAGAAGGGGAGACTATTGTTTCCCCACATTTCTGTGGAAATTTCTGGAAAATGTTTCATTTTCTTTTAAAACCAGGGTTATTCCCAGCATATCTGGCCAGACAAAGTGTAGTAAATGGCTAGTATCTTCGTTCTGGGATTTTAAATTGAATTGCTTTGCTCTATATCCACTCTGAGCTGCTAAATGAAAAAACAAGCCCTCTACCCCCACTGGTGTGAGGGCATCTTGTGCACCCTTGCAGGACTCCACAGGACCCAGACACCCATTTTTGGATTAGAGCTCCCTTCCCAATTCTCCTTTCCTCCCATGGTGGTTAGTAACTTACTGCTGTCCTATGTCAGGAGCAAATTGTGTCAGGCCTGTTGTGCTGGTTGGCATGTTGGGGTGGGGAGAGGGTAAGAAGCTTGTTCTGCCGCCGCCCATCAGCAGAGAAAGTAACAGCTGGTCACTTCTGCATGCCCAGATACAAGGTCATGATAGCTTCCTTCCTACCTTCCTGCATGGGTCCCAGGTTAGCCCCTGTCTGATTCTTACCAGTTCTCTAAGGAAAGGAAGAGTTATTGTTGGTGGTGAAATACACACTGCTCTCTCCTGTTAATGAGGATGATCATTAATACTGGATGTTCCATGGTAGAAGTGGTGCACAAGCCCTTTACACAGAGAGAAAATTCACTTACTTATGGTTCCCAGGGCCATGGGCAACTGGTGCCTCCTGAGTCTGGTGCAGAAGCTGCCGGTGGTGTTGGCAGTGGGGACATAGCTGGTGAGCTCTTTCAGGCACTGCTGGCAGTGTCAGTGGCAGGGGTGGAGCTGGCGAGCACCTGCAGCTGGTGGCGGTGGTGGCAGAGGCGGAACTGGTGAGCATCTGCAGATGCCATCAGCAGTGAGGGTGGAGCTGGCAAGCATTCGCTGATGCTGGCAGTGGCGGCAGCAGGGATGGCACATTTCCCCCCATGCCTCCCCTACCAGTCGCTTATGCCCAGGGCACCCCTTCAAACTCAGGTGAATAGTACTCCTTTTGGACAGGAGGCCCTAAGCAGTTATGTGACTTGGCCAAAGAACATCATTGTCAGAAAACTAAATACATGAGCTTCAAAAATCAGAAATTTTAAAGATCAAGTATTTGGAGACTCTTGTGTTAGAAGAATCAGTTCCTATGTAAGAAAACACTCATAATTCATATGATGCATTTCTCTAAGCATCTTTGACTTTTCTGCCAGTTGTCTAATATGTCTCTTTAGGCATTGGAGGATCGTGTGACAGTGATTGAGCCACATCACCTCTCCTTTGTAGACCCTGAGAGTCCAAGTGAGAAAATTGTCTTCAATGTGACTGTACCTGTGCCACCAAATCAAGGCAAGAGATGTCATTGTTCAAGTTTTTATTTTTTTATTTTTTTTTTTTATTTCAAACTCCAGCATCTCTGCAGCATCTTCTGGGCCTTACTCGGATGCATCTTGCCTTCTCCCCTTATCTTTCTCCGAGTGATACAGGAACACCACCTTGGATTAGGTGGGCCTTAGAAATATCTGAATTAGAGAA